GGAGGGGAGGGGGGGCAGATAGGCTGCTTTTGTCTGTTCCGCAGCCTGTTGCTCAGGGGAGGGGGCAGCCTGTTGCTGGCAGCGGGCATGGGGAGGCACTTTTCCTCTGCCCGGCAGCTCTGTGGGACCCCAGTCGGAGCCGGCCCGAGGAGGAGGAGGATCCTAGGACCCAGGTGAGCGAGCCCCGGGAATGCTGCTGCGCATGTGCGGGAGTTGCCTCACCCCGTTCGTATCTAGGGATCCGACGTAAGTCGGATCCACGTAAGTCGGGGACTGCCTGTAGTTAAGAAATAGAACAATAGCCATTGCAACCATATGATTTATAAGCTTCCTCGAATAAACCTGTAACTGTTTAAGTTTTAACCTGACTCCTTCAGTTGCTGTAATAGAACCAAGCACAATTTAAAAGAACTTCAGCCGGTCATAAAGGGACAGACATAGGGAGAGCTTGGGCATTTGTATCTGTGTCACTCCCAGGTGACAAGATCCGTTGGGGCACCCTTTCAGCCTTTCCTAGGCTGCCCACTGCGAAGGAACCCCTGTGTTCTAGCAGCTAAAATCTAAGGTGTAATAAGCTCTTCCTATATAACGGGGTGTCTGTTGGCCTGCTGGCCACCCTCTGCGATGGGACCCTGGTCCTAGCAGTAAAGACACGGATGTTAAACCTTTTCTCGGAAACATACACACACACACTGCCCTGACCGTCTGCTGACAGCACTGAGGCATTTGGGATGGTGGCTGGCACTGGGATGGGGCTGGATGCAGGGGACACTGGGGTCAGTGGCTGGCGCTGAGGGACTCTAGAGGTTAGGGCTGGCACTGGAGGACTTTTTATAGCATGGCAGACCCATTCACAAACTTTTGGTGAACATGTAACATTTGCATATTTGAATATTCATTATGTATACAACAATTTTATAGCATGGCAGACCCATTCACAAACTTTTGGTGAACATGTAACATTTGCATATTTGAATATTCATTATGTATACAACAAATATGCAATACACAAATATGCTAATCAATTGTTACCTGTCCACCACAAGTTTGTGAATGGGTTTGCTGTTCCGCGGTATAAAAAAGGTTGAGTACCACCCATCTCAATGTTTCAGTTCTGCTGATGCCCTATGCTGGAGTTAATGTAACAACACATTATGGAATTTCTGAGATTGCTCTTTGAAATACCTAGAAACTACACACCAAGTTAAAAGAATACCAAGGTTACAACTTTAATTCATGCAATAAGAAATTGGGAAATGTTAGTATTAAAGTTACTTGTGTAACCGTAACTTAGCTTATTTATTTTAATTACACAACCATATCCTATTTTATCCTCAAAAGCCCTGCCTCATTCAGTGCATAGTATGGCTCTGCTCTGGTGATTAATCAGGGGTTGGAGAGAAAAGTTGGGTGTTACCAGTACTTCTATTCCTACAAACCCATCTCTCAGTCACTCTATAAAGCTGGAGTACTACAGAGAAGAGTATCCTTCATTAAAGAAGTGCTTACTTTGTGGTCTTAATGAATATTCTTTCAAAGTCTATCTGTGTGTAATGTGTAACTTAAAATCCATTTCTGGTGTGTACTCTAACAAAAATCCACCTTAAAATGGACAAAGTACCATTGAGACAGAGTGCCAAACTAAAGAGATTATACGCGTCTCCTACTGTAGTCAAGTGCAAATATATGATTTTGAAATTTTGCATTTCTTTAGTAAGAATGCATGCACCCTACCAATACTGCTCTATCCTGGGCAGATTTTTTTTTTACCTCTGATAGAGACATGATGATTCTGTTTCTCATACTTATCACAACCAATTATATAGGCTTTGACAAAGTATTCTTGTATTGAATGTGGGTGCCTGTGTTAATAAGTGGGGACGAATTAAGAACAACATAGGGGTATACAAAAAACAAGAGAGTTGTTGAACTCTCTAGCAGAAAAAGGTGAAGCTTCAGGAGTTATTTCTAGAAGCAGCTACTACCAAAAGCTATATGCATACAAGCCGTAGAAGCACTTCACTGGTATTTTAGAGACCTAGGTTAAATATATTCAATACCCAGTTCAACCAGACTTTGGGAAAGTCACTCAATCCACTCCATGCCTTAACTTCCCATCTGTAGAGGGGTGGTAACATCCACTTCATACAGATGTCGAAACATAATACAAATTAATGATTGTGAAATGCTCAAAACAATGAAGAAAACTATGTTAACAACCTAAACAGATTTCTCTTGCTAAAGACACTAGCTCCTTGTTATTTGGTGAAAATGACACTTTTCTGGCACTTTAAATAGGATTTTCCATATACAAATGAAAACATTCATGTTTTACTGTATTCCAATAATAAAAACCTATCAACTTGAATCTCTGTGCATCCACTAGTTTTCCTCTACACTACAAATTCTTATTCAAAATTGCATTGAAATGGGGTTCAGATTGCCAGTGTTCATTTGAGGATGCCAAAACCACACACACACACTAAAAAATCCTGTGTTGGAATATATACACATCTATCTAGGATACCTGGAGGATTTGTGGGGGGGAGAGAGAGATGTGGCACAAAGGAAAGTCGCTTTTGCAGTTAATTTTCTCCCCCCCGGAACAGCAACTATTTGAAAGTAGGTGAAAAAATGGGTATATTAGAAACCATCTGAGGGAGAGTAATGAGCAGGCACAGTCAAAATCTTTTTATATGAAAATAAAGGCAATCCTGCTTCACAAATAAAAAAAAGGAACAGAAACAGATGGCATGCTGTTTTCAGTTCTTGTATCACAATAAATTAAAAAACTGTAATTATTTAAAAGCTCTCTGAGCATGGATTACAATTTGTGAGTTCAGCAGATCTGATGTGCGTTAAAATAATCATTATGTATATGCATATTTTTGTTAAATATTTGTAAAAACTTATACCTTGTCATAAGCTCTATTTTTCTGTCTAGACATTTCTAAATAGTTGAAACCCTTTAAAAAAAAACTGCAATCCATTGGAAGCAGATTGGGTGGGGGCATTATTCCCAGTAATGCAAAGCACTGTTTGCTGGTTTTAATTTTTACGAGACTTTAACCCAATAACTGGTTTAAGATTTACTGCCCACCTTGCACTTTCTGTGTGTTAGGAAGAGAAAAAAAATCAATTTGTGAAAAGGGGAAAACAAAAGCTATTTTTGTAGTAACTGCTCGTTAATGGAAACTATCCAACAGGTGAGCGGTGACTCCGTAAGAGAGCAATCCCACCACACGTAGCTCAACACCTGGAGGCTCCGGGGCAGTGGGCGATGCAAGAGGACGTGCATTTAGCCGGGATAACTGCCCATAGGCTCAGGGCCCTCCCTCACACATGCTTTGAAAATTGCTCCGGGAACGAGTGCCCGGCCGTGAGGTAACCCGGCACGTTGCGGGCCGAGGAGGAGCCATGTGAGACAGGCGGGATACGACACTTCCCCCCTCCCCCACACCGCTAACTCTCCCTTTCGGAGGTCTACACCAGCGAGGTGCTGAGGCAGGCTCTGGGGGTTATCACGGCTCCGCGGGGAAGCCCGATCCCGCCGCACCGCCGGCCGAGGCCTGAAGATGGCGAGCTAGGCCCCAGGGCCTGACACTCTCAGCGTGCCTCGGCAGACGGCAGCGAAGCGCGGGGCGGGATGGGAAAGAGGCGGGACGTTGAGTGGGGGAGGGGACGCGAGTATGGCGCGGGGGAGGAAGGGGCCCGCTCCCGCTGGCGGACTCACTCGGGAGGAAAAAGGCGCAGCTCCTCGATCTTGCCCAGGAAGCCGAAGAGTGTCCGCATCTGCTCGGAGCTGGCGCTAGGAGAGACATTGGTGACCTGGATCACGTCGGTGCCGCTGCTTGAAGACATCGCGCTGCCTCCCACTCCAGTGCTACAAACACATCAGGGAAGGGGAAGAGCGCGTTAGGAACCGGGTAGCGTTTTGCTGTGTCCCCTGCCGCTACCCGTCCGGGCACAACCACGGGCCTCGCGCACAAAACAACCGTTGTGGAGTAATAACTGCCACCAGCTGCCCGCTCCAGCAGCCTGCCCGGGCCGTAACTAGTATCCCACAATCCTTTACTGCTCTTCTCTACGCAAGCGCGATCCGCGTACTTCGATGATCTTGCGCAGACGCACAACTCGCCTCGCCCACAGACGCCCCATTTGCGCATGTCCACTGCCTGTACCTCTCCCAAGGACTTGCAGCTATTGCACATGCAGTCAACCATGTCGTGCAGCTCTCGCGCATGCGACATGTTCGCGCCATGGCTATGGAAATACCCGCGCATGTGCAGTATGGGCTGCTGCACGGGGGACTTAGCAGGAGAGGCGTCTGGGCCTGAGGGCCGTTATCCCTGTTTCCTCCTCCGGGCTCGTGACTGAATCCTCGCGGGGCGGAGAAAATTCAGGCAGAGGGGCCAGACTGGGGCTTGCCTGCGGCTAGAGCGCTCTGAGCTGACGCCTGCCTGAGCGCCCCCTTCTAGGGGCCTAGAGCTGCAGGGCGCTTCCTCTGAATCGCCAGGGCCTGAATCTGCCAGGCGCAGAGCCGCCCCTTTCTCCAGATGGCTCTGAGGGCGCCCAGCAGCTGGCAAAGCCTGTTCCTAAGGCCAGGTCTAGGGAAGTAAGAGAGTAGTCGAGAGAACTACTCCCTCCTCTCCCGTCCCCTTGCTGCCCTCCCTTCTAGGGGCCTAGAGCTGCAGGGCGCTTCCTCTGAATCGCCAGGGCCTGAATCTGCCAGGCGCAGAGCCGCCCCTTTCTCCAGATGGCTCTGAGGGCGCCCAGCAGCTGGCAAAGCCTGTTCCTAAGGCCAGGTCTAGGGAAGTAAGAGAGTAGTCGAGAGAACTACTCCCTCCTCTCCCGTCCCCTTGCTGCCCTTTATATCAGAGGCAGCAGGGGGACAGGAGCCGGCTGGTTTCCCCCCCCAGCATTGTCTCCATGGTGCTGCACCCACGCGGAAAGGCAGCAGCCTCTGTTTGTGGCAGCTCAGGTTGGCTACAGGCAGGGACTACTGGACCCAGCAAAAGTTGAGACTGAGCAAACCTGGCTCAGTTCTAGCTTGTGCCAGTTGCAGTCCTAACCTCACTGTGGCTTTGCAATTTAAATGTTGTATGAGCTGGGCTACCTGCACGCCTGGCTCCTACTACATTTAAACTGCAGAGCTGCAGTGGGGATAGCTCCTGGACCAGTGCGAGCTGGTACAGAGTGCCCTCTCTTATCAACTAATCATGTAGCCGTTTGTATCAACTAAATGATTAGTCAGATACCTGCCTCTTAACATCTTTAGTCAATACTAGACTTGAAGGTCAGCTTAAGATACTCAACTCTAGCTGTTTAAATAATGTAGCTGGAGTCCATACTTCTTAAGCTGAGCTTGGCACTATCTTCACAGTGGGAGGTTGACAGGAACAAATGCTCCCATCGGCTTCTCTTACTCCTTGCGACTGAGGAGTACTGGTGCTGACTGAGGGCACGCTCAGCATTCAGTTTAGCAGGTCTTCACTAGACTCACTAAATTGAATGCCAGAAGATGATCTCGGGTGCGACAGTACCTGAATAACAATTTCCCATTAATTTTTCAGTTCCAGAGTAATTCCTTTCTAACATGTATGTTGAAAACAAAATAAATCTGCAACCTGATTTTGCTGTAAGTGAAGTTAATGTAACAAATAAGATTTCACAACCCCCCCCCCCCCGGGTTATGTTAGTAAATGCACTAGAAGCATCCAGACAGAGAAGCAGCTTCTTCAGTATAGGTTGGACCTCCCTGGTTCTGTTCCCTTGGGACCTGATCAGTTGCAAAGTAGTTGGTTGGACTAGGGGAGGTCAATCCTGGCCATCGGCCCCAGCTGCTGGCCATGTTTCCTAACCCCTTGTTGCTGGCCCCAGAGCGCTCAACAGGAGTAAGTATTACCTAGATCCTTGACAGATGTTGGCTACGTCTACATTGGCCCCTTCTCCGGAAGAGGCATGTTAATTTCAAACTTCAGAATAGGGAAATCCGCAGGGGATTTAAATATCCCCTGCGGGATTTAAATAAACATGGCCGCCGCTTTTTTCCGGCTTGGGGAAAAGCTGGAAAAAAGCGTCTAGACTGGCCCGATCCTCCGGAATAAAGCCCTATTCCGGAGGATCTTATTCCTACTTTCAGGAATATTTATTTAATATGTTTATTTAAATCCCGCAGGGGATATTTAAATCCCCTGCGGATTTCCCTATTCTGAAGTTTGAAATTAACATGCCTCTTCCGGAGAAGGGGCCAATTTAGACGTAGCCGTTATGTCTAAACTGCGCTTAAAAATCGCAAATGATGAAGATTCTACAACCTTCCTAGGGAATTTATTCCAGTGTTTAACCATCCTGACAAGAAGTTTTTCCTGCTGTCCAACCTAAACCACCCTTGCTGCAATTTTAGTCCATTGCTTCTTGTGCTGTATGCATAGTTTCAGGAATATTTTTTTCTTCCTTCTGTAACGTTCTTTTATGTATTTGAAAACTATTATGTTCCCCCTCAGTCTTCTCCAGACGAAACAAACACAGTTTTTTCCCCCATCTTCCCTAATGGGTTATGTTTTTTAGACCTTTAATCTTTTTTTGTTACTCTTTTCAGGAGTTTCTGAAATTTGTCCATATTTTCTTGAAATGTGGTGCCCGGAACTGGACACAATACTTCAGTCAGGCCTAATCAACATGGGGTAGAATTAAGAATTCTGGTATCTTCCTTACAATACTCCTCTCTAATACATCCCAGAATGCTGCTGGGTTTTTTTTTGGGGGGGGGGTTGCATTTTTTAGCTTGTAACGCAATGGGCTCATCGAGCCTATGAAATCTTATGCCCAAATAAATCAGAGAGACAGTTTTATGAATGGCCAGTTTTCAGAGTCATGCATGTTGCTCTCAATGAGGTACCCTTGCATTCCATGTGCTAGCCTGTAACACTCCCTTCCCATCCTTCATTACAAGCAGGGCTCGTCTACATTGGCCCCTTTTCCGGAAGGGGCATGTTAATTTCAGCCATCGTAGTAGGGAAATGCGCGGGGGATTTAAATATCCCCCGCGGCATTTAAATAAAAATGTCCGCCGCTTTTTTCCGGCTTTTAGAAAAGCCTGAAAAGAGCGTCTACACTGGCCCCGATCCTCCGGAAAAAGCGCCCTTTTCTGGAGGATCTTATTCCTACTTCAAACTTTGACAATTTGAGAGACTCGTGTGGCTGCCCTTGACTCTCCTCCCTCTACATTCTAGGCACTCTGATAGAGGATGCTATGGAACTCTGGGAGGAGGGAACATAGATCTGCAAGGCCGTAAGGGGTGCCTGTACAGGAAGGAGTCCTGGAGTGACACCATGCAGTCCATCACATTTGCCATGGATGACAGCACTCCCTCCTAGTGCTTCACTTCCCGTTTCCTGAACGCTCTCCTTGCCTGATGCTTTGTGTGCAGTTCCTCCAGCAAGCATATTCCTCCACTTGCTTATGTGCTCCTTGTCCAAGTTGTCAGATTGCATTTGCTTCCTTGAACATCTCTTCCCTAGTCTGTTTGCACCTGCACATTTGTGCCAAGCAGGCAGCTGGCAGGTCTGGGGAAATGCGCAGCTGTTAATATTGGTTCCTTTATATGTTACAAAGGAACTATTAACTCAGTTGGGATATTTAAACTGTTTGGGCATGGGTTTGCCATTTTGTTTGTGTTTAAAACAACAGGTGAACCTCCATTTTGGACAGACTTCTTCCTTGACCAGGGAACAGAATGGGAAGATATCACTAGGCAATGATAGTCCATAAATACTGGGCACTCAGGGTGCTTTGGATGCTCTTTTTCTTTTCCCTGTGACTTCACTGAGAGGTTGTGGTGAGTGCTGCCTCCCTGAGTCACAGGCCTTATAAGCAAAGTGCAGGACAATGTAGCACTTTAAAGACTAACAAGATGGTTTATTAGATGATGAGCTTTCGTGGGCCAGACCCACTTCCTCAGATCAAATAGTGGAAGAAAGTAGTCACAACCATATATACCAAAGGATACAATTAAAAAAAAAGTGAACACATATGAAAAGGACAAATCACATTTCAGAACAGGAGGGGGATGCGGAGGAGGAGGGGGAGGAAGGAAGGTAAGTGTCTGTGAATTGATGATATTAGAGGTGGGGAGAGTGGGATGTCTGTGAGCTAATGGTATTAGCTTCCCCAATTATCACCTCTATCTTGGTAATGGGTAAGATAGTTTGAGCATTTGTTCATTCCTTCTCGGAGAGTGTCGAATTTTAACATGAATGACAGTTCAGAGGATTCCCTTTCAAGTGCAGATGTAAAAGGTCTTTGTAGCAGAATGCAGGTGGTTAAGTCATTGAGAGAGTGTCCTTTCTGGTTAAAATGGCAAGAAACTGTTTTCTCTTTGTGATCTCCCCCCCGCATCCCCCTTCTGTTCTGCAATGTGATTTGTCCTTTTCATATTTGTTCATTTTTTTTAATTGTATCCTTTGGTATATATGGTTGTGACTATTTTCTTCCACTATTTGATCTGAGGAAGTGGGTCTGGCCCACGAAAGCTCATCATCTAATAAACCATCTTGTTAGTCTTTAAAGTGCTACATTGTCCTGCATTTTGCTTCAGCTACCCCAGACTAACACGGTTACATTTCTATCACAGACCTTATAAGGTTTTAGTCAGTGGCATGGAGTGACAACTTGTTAGCCTAGTTGGGTAACAGCTGATAGTGTGTCTTTTCATTGGGAAACAGACCTGCAGTCATGGATCACTTCAGTTAGGGTATGTCTACCCTGCAGAGTTTTTCTGGGAAAAACTACACTTACGTCCACACTGCAATTGTGTTTTTTTCGCAGAAAGTCGAAAGAACGCAGTGGTTTTTCAGACAGCAGTAAACCTTTTTCTGTGAGGAAGAAACCTTTTTCCGAAAGAGCTCTTTCGGGAAAAAGCGTGTATGGACAGGCAAGAGGGGTTTTTTTTCCCCCCCAAAGAAGAGGCCTCCAGGAAAAAGCACAGGTGCCCTAGTGGCCACTCCGTCCATAGTAATCACAACTTGAATGCGAGATAGCGTCCACAATGATTGGTCGCTATCTTTTGAAAAAGCAGATCGCTTTTTCGATGCACTTTTGCTGTGTGGACGCTCTCTTTTTAAAGACTTTTTCCAGAAGATCTCTTCCAGAAAAGCTTCTTCTGAAAGAAGCCTGCAGTCTAGACATAGCCTTTGTGTGAGTTCTAAGTCAGAAGCTGGAGGAAACAAGATGATATGGAATTACCATGCCTTCAAGAAATATTGGCAATGGGAATGCACTTGGCCTTGAAGTATGGATCAGTACTGATCATGAGTAGATAAAGAAATGTATGTTTAGTTGTGGTCAGGGTATTTTTCTTTATTTTCTGCTTTGTTAAACTTCTCTGAGTGAAATCCATGTGCCTCCCTCCCCCCATTCACTGTACTTAAGCTGTCCCAGAGATACCATTTTTTCTTTTAATCTGCTCTTTTCTCAGTTGCTCTGTGACACCTAGCAACCAAGTATATCTTTTTGTTTTGTTAATAAAATCACCTTTTTAAAGACAATGATGTGATTCTTGTGTATGGAAGATAACAGGTCTATGTGTGTGCCTGTCTAGGCTGAGAGGTCAGCTTCTAGAGATTGCAATATGTTTTCTGTTTTCTTTTTCAAGCTCTCTTGTAGTAAAAGAGCTTGGTGTACTCCTCTGGAAGAAGTTGAATTATTTTCCTGGGTTTTAAAAGGAGTTGGACACTTGATGGTGGCAGCATATCTCCCAGTACCAGTGAATCTATGACTGGGGAGTTTTTGTAAGCAGAGCCTATAGAGCAGGGGTGGGCAAATTTTGAAGTAGCCTCGGGCCACCCTGGAAGGGGTGGGGCTACCCCAGCCCCAGACCATGATTGGTCTGGGATGGGGGAGCCCCTTTGTTCCCCCTTCCCACTAGGCACCCATACCCTGAAAGAGGCTTGGCACACTCCCCCACATCCAGGCCAATCAGGGCCTGGGGTGGGGGAGCATGGGAAGAATCCTCCCGCCCTGCGAGGAGCATGTGGCACTTTGAAGCGGCCTGGGGGCAAGGGAGCAACAGGGCCTCCACAGGCCGGATGCACCTGCTTGGTGGGCCAAATTCGGCCCACGGAGGCCCTTTTGCCCACCTCTGCTACAGAGCCAAGGTATTTTAACATACCTTGAGGGGCCTCACCTTCTGCACTCAGAGTAGAGAACAGCCCTGACAGCACCCTGACAGCACCTAATCGTTTTTGTTGCTCTTTTCTGAACCTTTTCCAATGTTTATATATCTTTTTTGAGATGAAGCAACCAAATCTGTAGGCAATATTCAAGATGTGGGCATACCATTAGGGTTGCCAGATGGCTGAAACAAAAACACCGAACACCCCCCTCCCCCCCCAAAAAAAACCCATGGGGAAAAATGTAGTTGTTGAGCAACAACAACAACAACAAAAAAGACTCCAAGAACCTGGATCACTGTGAGGAGTTACCAGGTAGTTATTAAAAAAAACAACAAACAAAAAAAACCCAGACATGCTTCATGAGGGGAGGGGAGGACCAGCCAGGAAGAGAGCGGTGCTGGCCAGGAAGGGAGGGGCCTAGAAACAGCTAAGGAGGGGGCAACGGGGCTGGCTGGGGGAGATGGGGGGCCAACGGGAAGCAGGGCTGGTCGATCACTGTGAGGAGTTACCAGGTAGTTATTAAAAAAAACAACAAACAAAAAAAACCCAGACATGCTTCATGAGGGGAGGGGAGGACCAGCCAGGAAGAGAGCGGTGCTGGCCAGGAAGGGAGGGGCCTAGAAACAGCTAAGGAGGGGGCAACGGGGCTGGCTGGGGGAGATGGGGGGCCAACGGGAAGCAGGGCTGGTCGTGGGGTGGGGGGT